GGATCAAATGCCATGTGTTTTTTAGTTTATTACCTGTCTCATTATCCTGATGTTAAACGAAAGTTACTGAAGGAGTTCGAAACAGTTGTCGGAAAAAATCCCGACACTAAGAAGATTACCCTCGATGTTATTAACAAACTTGAATACACCGAAGCTTTTATTAAAGAAGGTAACTTTTTTTTTTTTTTTTTTTTGCAATATTTAATATTTACATATTAAACTGTTATCCCTTATTTACAGCAAACAGATTATTCCCTATTATCCCTAATATTGGAAAACGAAATAGAGATCCTATTGAAATTGGTGGCATGACGTTTCCGGCCAATACATTATTTCTCACAAATAGCTTAGCTCTTTACACGCATAAGAACCAATGGTCCAATCCCAGCGAATTTAATCCTGACCGATTTTTAAAGTCAAGTCCAGAGAGCAAAAACTCTTTTTACATGTTCGGTTCAGGGGAAAGAAAGTGTATGTACATATTATATCTTGATACCATTGACAAGATTGATTTCTTCTAATCTTTCGCAACTTCTCTTAGGTCCCGGAAGAAATCTAGCAATGATAGAACTCAAGACTACATTACTCATGTTGTATTCAAAATATGATGTAGAGCTCGTAGATATGAATGCACCCTTAAATTATAACGGAGAGTTCCTAAGGGCTTGTGCTAAGTTAGAAGTAAAGATTAAAAAACGACGAGATTTGGGTTTGGTTGAAAGTTAGGAGCCTGTTATTATTTTCGCAGCAAATACTCTTACTTCATTAACGACCTACGGTCAATTGTTCGGTTTAACCCAAGAACACTAGAAACCATAACGATAAGAAATGCTAAAAGATAATTTTTTATGCCCTATACTTTGTAAACCTACACTTGGATTCGGCGAATTAGTACATACTGTATATCACATGATATATAGAAATTTTATGAAGTCGGGTTTAATAAAATAATTATCATGCTATTGCAAATATACCATATAATATAATAAAGAATATAAAGTAAACTTTATATTTGTTATTATTATTTTATTATTGATAAATTTTTATTAAATTAGTTATTTATTCTTTATTTATTTATTTTGTAATATCTATAGCCAAGCTAGATTGTAATTTATTAATCAATTGAAAACATAAATACACTTTCCTAGCAAAAATTACTAGACATCAATCAAATTTGAAGATAATTATTGGATAAAAGAAATTTATTAAAAATTTTTTTCAACTACTTAAATAATAAATTACATAAAAATTTTATATTGTTAATATACTTAAAAATCAAATTTTTTGTGTGGTTTTTTTTTTTTGTTTAATAATTTTTTTTTTACAATAATACAAAAATATAAAAAGTTATTTAAAGATAAATATATTCTAGTCATTAATATCTTAAAACCATTCTTCATTTCCAATTATTGCAAAAATATTTAATATTATAAAAAGACTAAAAATATTAAATATTTTATTTAAAATAAAAGATTATCTAAAATAAAAAATTATGATATATAATATTTATTATAGATGATCAAGAATAATGCAAGATAATCTTAATATCTTAACTAAGAAAGCTCTCTACTGATTGAATGAAAAGATCTTATTTCTTACAAAATTATTATTGAAATCAAGTGGCAAGTGACAACTCTAGATAATCCAATTAGGCAGTTTATTAAGAACATTAATAATAAGATAACAGCCTATCAGTGGATATAACAACACAGAATAGAAAAAAATAGAGTTATCAGATTTTAGAATACCAGGCTTATATATGAGATCTGGTATAGGAAAGAGTTATAGATAGATACACGTGGAATATATCTTTTAAATAATTCCAACAAAGAAGCTTTTTTATTAAACTGACCAATAACGGGTTATCTATTCTAAGTAAATTGGCTATAAGAAGACTGGACCTATACAAGCTAGTGAAATGTATTGTATATGGTCAACAAGATGAAACTATAGAACACTTGCTAGAATATCCAGTTTATAGGAATCAACTAAAAGAGATATGAAATAAAGAAGTAGATGAAATTATCAGAAACTTTAATAAGCTACTATAGAAAAGAAAGAAAGAGGCTAAAGAGAAAAATCCCAGATTGATTATTGATAATCAAAAAGAAATAGGAGAGTTTGACAAGTGGATCTCTAAAGTAGTAGAACAGACTTCTAAAACTAGCCAAGATATACCAAGTTTCTATATAGATCTTATAAGAACAGATATTATCCTAGAAATGGTAGACCTAAAATATTAAGATAAATATATAGGAAGAATAGCAAGAAAATAAATAATAAAAATACAAAGAAGAGTCTATAACCAAGTCTAAAAAGAAGTTTGAAACAAGAGATGTAAAAAAATAATAGAATGAAAACAAGCACAAGGAATTAATAAAGAGAACAAGACAAGAAGATCTTCATATCTTTCAGGTCAAAAAATTATACTCCTGAAAAAAAGAGATCCACTATCTGAAAAAAGAAACCTCAAAGACAAAGGCCTTTGAGAAATTCTAATAAGAAGAGTGAAATATGGAATGGAATAGTTGGATTTTAAGATTTGTCAAAATCTCGCAAAGTAATCTGCAGTAGTAACCTATAGGCAGTGAAGTTAATAGTTGAAAGGATCTTTATCTAAACTACTAACAGAGTAATAAATCATTTCCAAAGTTGCACTTAGAGTTTTAATAATTCTTTAAAATAATGATAAGTGAGTTAGTTAAAAACTTAGCTTTAATAATATATTTTCCAATGTAAATTATATATATATTTAATAAAGCATATATACCTAGTCTAACAGAGAGTTTGAAAAAAAAAAAATACAAAATAATTTTAAATATCACTAGTTAAAAAAAAATTATTTGACATACTGCCACTCCTATAATATTTGATAAAAAAATAAACAATTCAATGAAAAAATAATATAAATAAATTGATAACTATATAATTCAATTATAAATATTACAAAAATCAATATATTAACAATTCATTAAAAAATTCATTAACAATTCATTAAATAATTCATTAAACTATTTAGCAAAAATTCATTAAAAGTACATCACAAAATTATTTATTAGCAATTCAATAAAAATTCAATATTAATTTATTAATAATTCATTAAAAATTTCAAACGCAGATTAAACAAGGGGATCAAATGATATAAAATAGACAGACATCATCAAAGGGGCCATCACATACAAGATGAAACAAACTATAGTTGAAATCACAAGTAACAAGAAAGCAGTGATGGCAGTCCTAAAGACAGTAACAACCTGGTTTTGACAAGAAAAGAAAGAAGTCTGGAAACTGAGATGCAACCTAATAATAGAATGTGAAAAAACACAAGGAATTACCAAGAAGAAAAAGAAGAAGCAAATGTGAAACAAGCATTATCGAACAAGTAAAAACATCCAAAAAAAATAAGGACTGCAAGTTATCAATGGACAACTATATATAGAGTTAATTAATCATGCTATGAAAGAGATCTTGGGAAATAGGTACTCGATCAATACAATTTTCTCATTAAATTTCAGTATTAGTAGAGTTATAACATGCTAACATTCATCAATAGGTGAACTAAAGTGAGTCGCAAGGTTCGTTAAGATACTGAATCAGTAGTTTTTTTTCTATTATAAATGAATTTTCCCACAATTAAATTTGTGTATAAAAGAAAGTACAAATGATTAAATAAA